GGCTGATGCTGCCATCACGCCGGTGACGAACAGACCGAGATTCGGAAATGAATCTCGAACATATACGAAGAAATAATATACGAGAAAACAGAAACTCACTAAACTGAGCCCATGAGGGCGGGTCTTTAGAAGATCCTAATTTGTTTTGCCAGGCTTTTAATGACTCAGCATCTAATCGCTGAGTTGCTGTGTAAACCAACACGTCATCCCATTGATCAACTGGTCGACCAAGGCTTTGCAAAGTTCTATAAGCTTGACCTATCTTAGAGTAAAGCTGCTCAAGTTCACCAGCTGATTCTTTAGTTAGTCGTTTAAGCGTAAACAATGATTGTAATTCTGAATGAACAAGTACTCGTTTATTCTCATAGAAAGAAACTAAGACATCCCATGTCTTTTGAAAGTTGTCAGCTATAAGAACAGTATCTTTAATTAACATGGCGGCAGATCCAACTAAATTTGTTTTTAAATATTGTAGTTCTTCAACCGCGGAGACACTCGGGTTGTTAATTACAATGGATGTAAACAAATCTTTAAATGACAGCCAGTCTGATGGAGTTCCGTTAAAAGTTAGAATAGTAATTCTTGGAAGCCTCGTGTGTTGTACAAACGCAGTTGAACTCAATGGCTGAGAAAGAGATTGAGTTGACACAGAAGCCGTCGTTGACAACTGATCTGACTCCAACATAGAAGTTATCCTTTCAAGCGACTCGAGATAACATACATGAGTGTCAGAAAATAAATTTTCAACAAAATAAGCGTGATTGTAAATTGTAAGTTTATCCTCGGTATTAAGCTTAGTAATTGACAATTTAATTGCCTCATGATTCAAGGAGAATTTCTCCCAGATTTCTTTTAACGAGGAGAGGCGAGCATTGATTCTTTGATTTGAATTATTAATCAAACTGTTTTCAACTAAATTGTCATAGGATTTAACTATGACATCAATTAAAGAAATTTTCATTTTTGTACACCACCGATTTTTAATTCACGTTTAACATCATTCCTTCTTATTGAAACACCCTTTAGAAGCAAACCTATAATATTGTTACGCCCGCGAGGTGTTGCGTCGGTCACCCGATGGATACGCGCCAGCTGTGGGCTGAAGTTGCGGCGCATGGAGACGCCGGTCGCTAAGGACCGATGAGATGATGTTTATCATTGATTAATTAGAATTGTCCCGAGTTTTCGAGAAAGCAGACGTGTGATTAACTGTCAATAAAGATTCCTTGTTCCTTTTAATCCTCTCTCTCTCATTTACCCGTGGCGCGGTGCGCGAGTAAGAAAGGCGACGTACCGACACGAACGCGAGTGCGCGGGGTGTTGTGCCGATAGCGGAACATCGCGCCGAGCGGACGTCACAATATATACTTTTTACCCCCTCTTTGTCTTTTTCGACCTAGACCCTTGACCATGTTTTCTCTTTTGAAATGTGGGATTATAAGCTTAGCTAATATATTTTTACCCCCTCTTTGTCTTTTTCGACCCAGATCTTCAATTTGAACTAGTGATCTCTATACATACTGGAATGAATGATCTATAGTTCTGGCTGTTGCCGAGAGAGAGGTGCGTTGGGTGAATCCTTGTCTCCTTCTAGTACTACCTGATTGGATAATCGCATATAAGTGACGCCCTTCTTCTCGTCATTTATGTGATCAAATTGAAAGGTGACTGTTTCATTTAAACTCCGCGGGTTTATCCAATCCGTAAAATATTTTTTCTGTAAGTTGGTAGTACTGTTACTGACATCTGTGCCAAATGTCAGGTATATAGCTGCGTTAGTTGCTAGGCTACGCTTGGTTTTGTAAACAGCAAAAAGTTATTCCTGCGATTTTTACAAGGTCAATTTTTACAATGTTCGAGACCATTTCGCCAAAAATTCAACGAAGATCGTTCCACAACCGCCGTATTCACCTGATCTAGCACCGTGTGACTTCTGGCTGTTCAACAAACTCAAAAGGCCACTTCGGGGAAACCGTTTTGACTCGATTGAAAAGATAAAAACCGAATCGCAGAAGGAGCTGAAGGCCATAAAGAAGGAAGAATTTGCGAAGTGCTTCGAGGACTGGAAACTTCGTTGGCATAAGTGCATTGGAGCCGATGGGGATTATTTTGAAGGGGACGAAATGGATTTTCAAGAATAAATAAAGGTTTTTCATTTTACAAACAAAGTCACCTTTCAATTTGATCCAGAGTATATGCGACTATCCAATCAGGTAGTACTAGAAGGAGACAAGGATTCACCCAAACGCACCTCTTTCTCGGCAACAGCCAGAACAATAGATCACTCATTCCAGTATGTATAGAGTTCACTGATTTGAACGTATCCGCACACAAAATATTATCTTTGTGACCCTTGACCATGTTTTCTCTTTTGTTACTCTTCCAAAACTCTCGACTGAACGTCTGGTTCTTTAACCGATGTGTAGAGGAATGTTAATTGGTAAATTTTACCCCCATCCTTTTCACATAAATGTCATTTCAAAATGCGTTTTGAGGAACTAGTCAGAGTTCGTTTCTTCTTGTTTCTTCGCTGCATCGGTTGCCTTGCAACATACGGCGTCATCGAGTGAACATGCCGCTACGTGATGTACGTTCGTTGCCACCGTTGGATCCGGCTCGCCTGAGACGCGCTCGGGAGGAAAGAGCTAGACGTAAGTAGTTGTAATTAAAATTAGAAATATTATACAAATTTAAAATATTAAATTTAAAATATTAAATTTATAGAGAGGCGACGGCTGGATTACGAAAATGATGTGGAGGTGATTGACGTGGAAGAGGAGCTGGAGGTGATTGATGTTGAAGAGGAGGTGGAGGTGATTGACCTGGAATAGGAGGCGGAGGAGCAGATCGCCGATGAGGAGCAGATCGACGACGAGGAACGATGAATCCGCGGTCTCGAAGAAGAAGTGGAAAACCTGGATTGGGTGGATGAAATATTTCACCCAGCAGAGGATGACGAGGACAGCGGCTTCGAAGACGGTAAGAATATTTTATTGTGATTTTTAAATCTCACGTATCTCTGAACATATTCTAAAGTGTGATTTTTTTTCTAGATATTCCATCCCCTCGAGCTTCTTCGCCGGAATATTAGAGGAATACGAGAGCTATGTCGCCGGAATATTGAAGCGAAGAGTAATAAGTATGTAACAACTTGTGTTTTTTTAAGAAAATAAATATATTTCTATCAATATTGCATTAATTTCTTTTTCCACACGTATCCTATACTTCTTTCCGTTTGCACACTCTCTCTCACTTCCACAGCACATTTTTTTCCTTTACCATAGTATTATATGTATGCTTAGGAAGCAGAAGAAAACTGTTAGTGGATGAAAATTTTATTTTTTATACAATTATTAATTTTTTTCGTTCATCACCTCGTTTTAAGGTTTCAGCAATAAGTTCATCTACAGCATAAACTATTAATTCACAATCTATGACAGAAGTTTTATCATATACCTCGTACAGTATACCAATTGCATCATCTCTCTCGGCACTGGTCATATTACTTTGCAAACAACACACAAATTGATCGAAGCTTTCATTTACAGCTTCTACAGGGTGCTCCGCAAGGAAGCGCAAAATAGTACAGGACTTTTCTGTTTGTCTTCGTCCCCTCTACCTTCCCATGACCGGTCTTCAATATGTTGCGGAGCACCCTGTATATCCTCCGACAGTTTGCGATATACATGCTCTACACAATGTTCGAGTTTGAGTAAAAATAATACAGTTGACATGTTCATGTACATGCAAGTGTCATCTAACGTTAATTTTACAACTTTTTTATTGTACATTCTAACAAGCTCTAAAACTAAATTGTCAATCTGTACCGATGATGCGTCTGTTGACTTGAAGAGCTGCTCTATTTCGGCACGTTTCTTGTTAAATTCCATCCACGTTGAATGATCCAACGCCATCTTATTTCCACGATTGTCGCCGAGAATGAATTCCACATAGGATGCATGAGGTACCACGCAGATTCCAACATCCAAGTATTTGTACGCAGTAGATGTCAGGGCGAATCTCCTGCTCATGATACGAGGCGTGTAACGAGGTTTATCAGAACTGAAAGAATACATAAAGTAAAATAAATACAAGTAAATCAGGAAAAGTATGAACAAATATACAATAATTTTAGGGTACTTACGCATCATGCTGTTTCTTGCACGAAACAGTTTCATGTCGAGAAACGGATGGCGTATAACTGCTTCGAGGAACATACGGCGTGTAACGCCGATTGCTAAAACTGTTTGAAAAATACAATTAAATGTTGAAAAATGTATGCAATATACAGGGTGAGTCATAACATTTGTACCAGAGCTCGTGAGAAGGTAGAACGGATCGAGATGAACAGAAAAGTCCTGAACCATTTGCAATTTTCGCAATAGTTAACGAGTAATAAATTATCGAAAATCGTCGTCTTTGCCCTGCCCACTGTCCAATTCGAGTGCGTGGAGAGATGTGACTGCACAGCGATCGATATTGCCAGGCGAGGGGTGGGGAGCGAGACGCGAGACGCGGGAGCGGCGACGTAAGCTCGCCGGCAACGGCGCGCTGTCCCCCCCCCCTC